CTCCAACGATGGAAACTTGTAAATATGCTAAGGTATAGTGAATAAAATCCCCTTTCTAACTAGATATAATTTATAACTTAATACGCTAGGGTTCCCGAGAAATAAATTATTGATTTTCTAACTAAAGCGCACATCGTGGTATTCTTTTATTTCCCCCTTTTGGGCAGGAGAAGCCGGCCGTATAGAGACCGCCGGGTGGGGTGAAAGGGATACCTGAGTTCAACATTCCGATCCAGTGCTAGGCGAGGTCACACCGCGCGACCTCGCGTTGGGCGCCAAACATGGTTGTACTAATAACGGTTGTCTCAAAATAACGGGCTAACGGGGCATACACTGCCACATTAATAATCAACATAGTAAGATATATAGGCTAATTATAATATCATATAACATAACAGTATAAACAGTATAGATACACATATTAATCTCTTAATTAATTGCTTTTTATTTAAAATGAACCCCTTTACAATTACAAGTCATTAGAACGTATAACAAGTTGTTATAATATAAATAAACATTGCCATGCAAATATTTTGTAATGGATTCAAAACTAGAAATAGCTACCTGTGGTGAAGAATACAAATACAAAACTCATACTCATAGAGTAGAGCATACTCATAATGATAATGAATAATGACAATGACCAATGAGTTGATGTTTTTTTTACAGGTGTTTTATCCAGCTTTTGCATATTATTAGCAATAGGCCGACCTTTGCATTCTATAATTACTTACTATAAAATAAAGAGCATACGGTATACGCTACTTATTTTTATTTATAATTTACGAGACTAGACTAGTTTACTCTTACTCTAACTTTAATTTTAATCTTTAAATTTTAGTTACTCACTTAATATCGGAATTATACACTATTCGTCTTATGTGAGCCTTCAAGGTAGCCATGATAATAAATTAATCTTTACGAACGAAGTAATTATTGAAAAATAAAATGTAGTTCATGCTGGTGCGAGAAGACCTCTAGAATGATACCCGCCAAAAGAATCATTGAGACAATAGCTGCCATTGCTTGTCAACACCACTTGACACTTGAAATTAGTAGTTACCCAACTTACGGGTACTAATACTATAATAATAGGCCGGCACTACGTACACCGCGGCGGTGTACCTAGCGAAACTATTGACTTTGGCCTGCGTACACCGCGGCGGTGTACCTAGCTAAATCACGGTCTGTGGCCTGCGTACACCGCAGCGATTTACAGTAGCCAAACTATGGTCTTTGCGAGTCTTTAACTTTTTGGCCTAACCGGTACTTGTAGATTTAATGTTATACTCGTGTTAAAACTGAAAACTATTAAAAATTCGTTTATTACCTTGGGAAGATATTGAGTAAGGTCCACGCGTATGTGGCAAAGTGCATGTAAAGCATTTCTTATTATTTTTGGAAGGGAAGGGGCTGGGGGGGGG